GATCAGAGCAAATTTGTAGAAAAATATGTGCGCAATGTTAGGGAATGTATTTTGGACCATTTTTTTGACATGGTACAGCCAAGCTGACCCCATGGACAGTAGAAGGGGATTACGTGGTCACTACCAGGATCAAATTATCTTCAAAGGATTACTGAAAGGTAGGACATACCTCCCGGGGCCACCCTGCTGACCAAAATGGAGCGCAAGAGCATCAAACATAGTCCAATTTTAGGTCATTTTTGACAGCTTTAACTCATATTGCCCCCCTTAAACTGTTCATTATGCCCGAAATGGGCGTGTTACTGTTTTTGGTACGTAACGTTCCGAAAGTCGTACCGAAAACTGCAACGTGCCCATTTCGGGCATACACACTAAATTCCAAAGACTTTTTTTTTTAGGGTATTTGCTTTGCCATTTTGTCCAAGTCACAGATACAAACTGTTTTATGTTCTCCTTAAAAATTGGGTTTTCTGACATATCCCCTTTCCACTTTTGACCATTGATATTTGGGATTCACTCAATCGGACAGGTGAAGAAAGTTAACGAAGAGGAGGCGAACCACCGAACCACTGACTATCCGACTAGGAGTCGGGATCGCTCTCCACTGGGCTAGAGTTTTTAAACGGAGGTGGGTGTGATGATAGACGTACTGGTCCCGTAGAGAAAGAGGCTAGCCAGACATGTTGGAGACATCTTTAAGACATGCCTGATCCATCGCATACTTAGCACAGTGGCAAAGTGCGGTGCAGAACGGATCAAGCATGTCTGAACGATGCCTCCACCATCTTGCTAGCCTCTTTCTGTGTGGGACCAGTGCGCCATCGACAGATCGATCCGCCCGCCCCTCCCTACCGCACGGTAAAAAGAATATCTTGGAATTCAAGTAGATTCCTTGAAAACTGTCTTGAAAATCAAGTAGATCACTTGAAATCCAAGATGTCACTTTTACCGTGCGTGGTTCAGAGGAGAGCGAGCGGCACTTTCCAGTCCAATAGTCAGTGGTTCGCTGTTCGCCTCCTACTGGCGGTCCGTCCTCCCTATTTTCGTCTGGCCGATTGAGTGTGTCTCAAAGATTTCTTCAACATGTCTTGACTGTCTGGCCCGCGGTGTCTCCTAGTCGACTACAGTATGAATGAGAGTTGTGTTTAAGAAGCGTGTAAAAAGCGTGACTCAGTAGACTTTCTTCTGACTTTGTGGATCTTCTCTTCCGACACCAAAATCATATGACGAATGCCCCCCACAGATCATGGCGTTGGATTAGTAATGGCTCCATTACGTTCCAGTCAAGACTAAAATGCGACTCACAAGCCCAACACATGTCCTATAGATGCTGGCAGTATCACCTGATCCTTGTGGAAGACAATCCGTCTTGCACGGGTATCTTCTAGGTGAAGTCAGTAATATTGACGTACTCAGGCTGGTACACGTACCGAACAGATTGTCTTCTGGACGTAGTTCCCAAGGATTAGTGTGATATTTCCAGCATCCATAGCATACTAGTCTTGTGTGATACGTATTGGAGTCATTATTAATTCATCGTCAAGACCTGTGTGGGACATTAGCTGATACGACTAAGTGTGTCTTAACAATTAATTCACGAAGGCTGTTTTGTCAGTCACGCTTTTCAGACTTCTCTCAGACACAACTGTGATCCACTGTGCAAACATCGCGTGGCAAGGCATTCAAGACACGCTGAAGACATATTTGAGACACACTAAATCGCACAGGCAAAAAAAAATGAGAAAAGACGGGTCGCCGGTAGGAGGCGAACCACCGGCTATCGGACTGCGAGTCTCGCTTCTTCTCCACTGGGCCAGCGGCTAGAGTGGAGAGACTTAGACGGATAATGTGTCGATTCACGTACATGACCCGCAAAGAAATAGGCTACTCAGATATGATGGAGACGCCTTTCAGACATGCCTGATCTATCAGGTGCGGCGCACTCTGCCACTGTAGTCCAGAAAATATAGCTCAAAAACTGCCCAAAGCTGGAAAACAATCGCTCACACTTTTTCCAACGGTTTTCGACTCATGTGACTTCCTTTACAACGTATCGAAGTTCCCCAAAAATCCCCGCATTGGCATTTTTGTCGAGGAGGAAATCACTAATGAAATAGTTCGTACACCTTCCCCCGAGATAGTCCGAAATAAAGGCGAAATAGAGCGAAAAAGACCCGCAATAGACGCGAAATAGTCGGTGAAATAGTCGCGAAATATCCCTGAAATAACCCGAAATAGGCAAGAAATAACCGAAATGGCCGGTGAAAAACCACGAATTAGCCCGTACGCTATGAACCCAAGTGATTTCCCCTCGATTTTTGTAGTACCCTGTAAAACATTTCAGTGGAAATGTAAATTCTGTTGCGGTTGTTTGGACGGGTTTTAAAGTGCAAGTAATGCTAGTTTATATCAGTATTATGATAAAAATTGGAGAAAGGTCCAATAAAACCATTACATATTGATCGATTTTAGAATAAAAACCCGAAGTCAAATTTAAAACAAAAACATTCAAAGCAGGAGAGAATTCGTGATTGGTTGGTTCTGTATATTTATGGCGGTGGTCCTTTGATCAGTATAAAATGCCACGCTGAAATCAGATTTCTTGTTCCTGTTTGAGCCCGAGAAGTACCAAACACATATAAAACAAAGGTAGAAAATTGCACACCAATTGGCGTGGTTTTCGAATGTGCATTTTTTTTTTCCTGGTGCGAGGGGTCCCCGACTTTCAAAATAAATTTACAACGAGTTGGCAAGTCAACGAGTTGTTGTCACGAGTTAGACGCGAGTTTGGATAAGGTTTTTGAGAGATTTTCTAAGTGTGCCTGGCGTACATCTACAATAAACCAACATTTGAGAATTATGGTGGCTGCTGTATATGTTGGACTTTACTGGTACACCATTTTCCGATCTAAAGCCGTTTAATCGGCTTTATCTATTCCCTGGTAATTTTCGGATTATTTAGGTGGAAAATGGCCTCTCTTGCCGCAGCAAAACGAATTTCACTGTCACTGTCACCCGTAGCACTCCACTTTCACGAGTTACCTCTTAATTTTTTTTTCAAATATTTACACATTTTTTTTTGCAGTAAGTTGTTTTTCATGTTTGTTCTAAAATGCTTATCTTTGAACTCGATCGTATTTGAGTGGTACAAAGCGACCGTGAAATTGTCCGATCGCTAACGCAATTCGTTCAAGAGTTAAACGTGCAAACATAAAGACAGGCGAACAATATCCCTGGGAAAAAAGTAAGTAGCAAAGTGCAACTTACGTGGCAATTAAGTATCACTTGGTTGCCACCTTGCTAAGGTGGCATTTAAGGTAGGCCCTAGTGAACAAGCAGGCCCAGCCCCTGCCGAACGGAGTTGCCAGCGAAGCGAAGCTGGCAACTTCGTTTGGCGGAAGGGCGGGACTGCTTGTTTCACTAGGGTCCTACCTTAAGTGGATTTTGACATTTTAAGTGGCAAGGTGATGAAGCGCCAAGGAGGAGGTGAAGTGCCCCGGAGGAGGCAAAGTGGCACTTGAGTGTTATCTGCCTCCATATCTTTCGCAGTCATGTCTTGTTGTACCGTGCACCCTCGGGAGGGTCTCCTGTTAAAAACTTGAGTGCGGTGGGGGGGACTGACCGTCCTCATCCTGCTTTTCGCCCTCTCGGCAGCCTCATATGGGTAATAGAGCGAGGCGGATCATCAGCGAGAACGTAGAGCACCACCTTGGTTGCCACTTTGCCTTTTTGGCTCTTTATGGCCGCTTCGACACTTAGATTCCAGTTAAATACTCCTTCGGAAAATTCTTGGTTGCCACTCTGCCACTTTCCTCTTTCTTGGCACCTAGCCACACTTAGCAAATTATTTGGCCCTTGGTTGCTTAAAACCACTCAACTTCCACTTCAGGTACTCTTTGCCATTTTTTCTCCCAGAGATGTTGTTTTTAGACGATCCAGTCTATACCAGCAGGTTTGGCGCGCGTGGGAGCGGTGCGTTATGCTGTTCGTCCCAACTTCCCCCCGCCGGCCAACACTGTGCGCTAGGTCACGCCCCATCCAGGCGCCCCCAGTCCCACAAACAATATACACTCAACACTCCTCGAAGTCTGGCCGAAAGGTGGCCCAGGCCAGGGCGCAGGGCCGCCGAGGCCTCGACTCCAACGACGAGCACCTCTGGTTGCTCGGTCTAGCGCTCGTCCAAAGCGAGGGCGATCACCACGTCGCCGCTCACTCGCCCAACAACTGCCTGGACTCGCAAGGGAACTCATAAGAAGTGTTAGTCCCCGATTTTGCTCCGCATTGGGGGTTTTGTAGGGTCAGTGTCAGCGTCAGCAAGGACAGACGACAACGACGCACAAGGCCGGGAATCTCAGAACAAAAAGTCGTAACTACTCTAGTTCTAGAAAGAAATAACGTATTTAATTAGTAACAATAATTTTGTATAATATTTTCTTTTATTCGGATCGTGTATTTGTTAACACGGAGTGTTAGCGTTTTTTATGGTCAGTGGAGTAACTGCACTGTAATTTTGGGGTGTCTCAAATGTATACGCCAAAAGGCGTATGTTTTAAGATCCCGAGAGACATTTGGCGTATACTTTTGAGACATCTTTGCCCATACTAATCGTACGGCACAATCCCAGCTATGAGCTTGCAGGTGTATGGGAGAATGTACAGGACGTGAGCGCCTTTCAGAGTGTGTGTATCAAAGGGCCTCTGATGTGCCGTGGGGATAGTATGGGCAAAGATGCCTAGAATGTATACCCCAAAAGATGTCTCAAAAGTGTGGGCCAAATTATGCTCTGGATCCTGTAGCATACGCCTTTTGACGTATAGATTTTAGAAACCCCAAATAACAGTGATAGCCAAACGTACGCCTGACAAGAAATTGTTATGTTACTACGTTGATAGGGCCCTATTGCGCCGTGCGGTCACTACACTGTAAATGCAAGGTGTCCAGCAGGTAGGCGACATAAGTCACCTGACCCGCAAAACTAGGCGACTTATGTCGACTATCTCCTGGACACCTTCTGGTTCGTCGGGTAATAAAGTATCATTCCGGTAAAGCTGAAATGCAGAAGAATGCGGGGAAGAAGAAAACGGAAACCGCTATGCTTTAGCATTGTGACTTCCATTTTCTTGTTCCTCGCATTCTTCTGCATCTTAGCTTTACCGGAATGCTTTATTGCATGGACACTATGGGTAGAATGTCTATGGACTCATACGCAATTATCTGGGAAACATTGTACAACTATTTGGTAATTTTCAGATCTCTAACTCAATAGAATTTTCACCCAGTTTACACCTGATCCAAAGAAGACCGATCAGCAATGCTTCCTGAACTGTTTCCTCCCTGACGCTCATTAGCTGACGCGAAGTTCTTGCACCCGTCACTAGGGCAGCCGCAGGCCTGGTGGCGGATCCGAGAACTTCGTCCGCGTCAGCCAATGAGCGTCAGGGAGGAAACAGTCCAGGAGGCATTAATGTTCTCCTTTCGATCCGGTTTGAATTGGGTGAACAGTGAATAAATGCTCTACTTGTTCTCGAATTATCGTGTGGACAAACAACATAATGCAACATTTTTCGTCAGTGGGCTATGGGCTTCCCATACACTACACTACGCCGATGGGGTTAGCAAAAGCTCAGACAAAATGTTCTTTAAGCACGTCACTGATAGTTACCAACCATCATCATACGAGGCCCCTTCAGCTTGAGTCGCCGACACTCCAGCTCCAATAAGCATTCCCGGAGGCAGTTTGTACAGGTCGTCAGAAAATCCATCTTGAGTGCTTGTGGGTTCTGTGAGCACTGCCGCAAGTATTCCACGGGCAAGAGCCACGTGGCAGACCACAAAAACTACGAGGCGCATGTCGCTTAATGCCACCGGCAGCTAGCTAACTACACTGAACTCCACCAGCCAGTCGCACACCTACTTATCTTTGACTACTCGTGCGAGCACTTTCTGACAAGTGGGGTTACCACACTTGCCAGCGTACATGACGTATAAGATTGCAGTCAAGGGGGTAATCACTTGCGAAAGAGTTACACCCATCGGCGAAATTATTTCGAAACAGTCGACATAGATGCGAATTATGAGGGGAACCACTGAAACCAGACATATGTTCGCCATACCACGTCTCGTGTAACAGACCTCGCGGTCTACCACGAAACACTGAGCACTGTCCCGCTGCGACATTGTGAGAATGGTTTTACCTGGAGGGTAATATCTACGCGGCCGCCCGTATGCATGGCGTTCTCCTATGAGCTCGATACTCCTCGCTTCTAAATGCTCGAAACACAATAAAGCATTCCGGTAAAGCTAAAATGCAAAAGAATGCGGGGAAGAAGAAAACGGAAATCGCTATGCTTTAACATGGTGATTTCCATCTCCTTCTTCCCTGCACTCTTCTGCATTTCAGCTTTACCGGAATGCTGGACTTCCATTCTGGACTTACCATCGTGTTTTTGTTTGTTTGTTTATTTGTCTACTTAAGCTTCTCATTTAATAAAATCTGGGTGGACTGCCATCTCGCTCGGATAAAGCACTCCGAATGCAAGCGAATGCAAGCTCGGCGTTTTAGGCGAACCATGCATTTTGTGAAGAAAGCATGAAATTCTGCACAATATTGTGCTACCATTTGGTACTACGGACCAAAACGAACATTTTGACCAGCAGTACCGGAAGTTCCAACTCTTTTGAGCAGCTCGGGCGGGAAATTTAAATTTGAAAGGTAGAAATACAGAAACAGTCGTCACAAACGTCAAACACCATCGAAAATTAATTAAATATACGTCGCCGCTAACCTTCAGACGGACTTTGAATTGACATTGATCGGGCCGGCTGGGGTTTTTAAAACATTGCTCGTGCATCAAAGACTACGCCTGATTCAAAATATCAGGCTTTTGCTTTCTTTCTCGACCGTGGCTTAGATTACAGTTTTCACGCTTCTCCAAAAATGCCTTCTGCTCGGCATAGTCCTACCCAAAAACGAGACCGAGTGCCGTCTCCTGCGAGGCTACTACCGGTGAGGCACTCGGGCGGACGGGCTCGGTTGCCAACAACAATGGTTAGTACAGAGGGGCGCAGGCGCAGGTTAACAGTGGTACCAACAGAATGTAGGAAGTTGGTGGCTGCCCGTCCTTCAATGAATTTTCCCTTCTATTTAACTAGCGTTGAACGTTCCGAAAAGTAGCTGCCCGTTTTCGAATAAATTTCCTCGAATGAATTTTCCCTTCTATTGAACTATTACTAATTTCCCTGGGAAAATTTACTCGAATGAATTTTCCCTTCTATTGAACTATTTCTAATTCCCCTCACTTTCGTCAAGAAATGCCCCCTAGCCCCCTAGCACCCAAACGGTACAAGATAGAGAGCAAAACGGACGAAATTTTCGTTCTACGGGCTCTATTCGTAAAAATACATGTAGTATGTATCGACTTCAAATCCCTTGGCGAGTAAAAAATGTGCTGTCGTAAATTTACAACTTAAATTATAATTCGAGTTTACAAATTTTCTATAAATTTACGACGATATTTTTCACAGGTGAACGTAAACAACAGCGATTAAACGCATCCAGCTTTCTGCTCTACTATCGTTTAAGAGATTCTATTTCGCTGATTGAATGTTGATCAGAACTTGTATGAATTGAAACCAGCTACGGAATCCCTTCCGACACGTCGGCAGATTCAATGTCGGCATGCCAGGCACCATGAACCTCACTGGACGCCCACAGGAAACCATAATCTGAAGGCGGGCACGACGAGCGGTGATGTCCTCCTCTGGCCACGGTCCCTTGCAAAGAAACACACTTTGATCTAAAACAAAATTGAGAAACGACATGGCTTCAAATTAAACTGTGATCTTGTGTCACGTCAGGTAAATGTATTTGATGGAACACTTCCGAGGGGTCCTAACTCCGTCAATCTAGTGTGCAGTACAGATGTGTCAGGTGCCTAGTGGTATAGACAAGCGTATCACTACGAAGTTATCAGTGCAGTCTCAGTCCACACTCCGGGAAAAAGTCTGTAAGTTCAAGATACTCTTCTGTGGACTGACCTTCTGATTTTCTGTAAAAATAAATCTAGTAAGTACGGACTACCGATTGTGGGCACTTCCACTTAGAACAGCTGTAATTAGAAAACTGTCATGGCGATTCCAGAGAATGCGATCGACTGCGTGAATATCAGCGAATAGTTTGCGGAGAAATTGTGTTACCGCGTGTTTCCAGTTCATGTCCAAATTGTTCAGCCCTACAACACTGTTAGAGAAAGTTGTACCTTTACTAAATAAATCCCCTACGTACAGTTTGTTATGTCTCTGAAACTATTTCCAGTCGCCAAAAAACTGTAAGGTCCCCAATTTGCCAGGAACTAATTGTTATTTCACCTGATGTCTCCAAATCATAAAGACTTTTGCCCATGCAGGCCATATTTGTGGAAACAGTTTGTAAAATCACACTTAATTTTGTGAAATTACAATTAATTCGTGTTTTGATTGTACAAACGGTTTCTAATACAACAACCAATGTTGTGTTCTGATTTTCCGAACAGATTGTAAAATGACAATCACGTGATGTATTCTAATTTTACAAACAATTTGCAGTATCTTTGACAGTAAAAGCTACACAAAGGTCTTTTTGTTCAGGTACTCTAGACCTGAACCCTTTCCCTAACAGGACTCATGCAGGTAGAAATTTACTGCAATACCACGAAATACGAAAGTGCGGAAAAGATCGGTTCTTACTTCGTACACCCTAGTTGACAAACTGGTGCCTGCGTCTTGAACGCGTTGTCCAGCAAAGCACATAGGCACGAAGAAAGCAAAAATGTACGATGCACATGCCGTCGCGTACAAGTCATCCGTGACTCCACCACGCACCACTGACACAGTGCTTAGCAAGGAAATTGCGAAGCTCCCTAGATGATAGAGTGGTAGAAGCAAGCCAAACATGGCATTTGCTTGTTGACAAGCCGCTAACAGCATGACGTGGATACGCACTGAACGCACCGTCTCGTACATGCCCTGTAATAAAAAAAATCGAAAACATTCGATGCCGTATATTTTTTAACCTTTTGAGATAATTATAATTGCCATATTAAAAATTAACACTGGACAATTTTGTCCTTGAATTATTCTCAAAATATTCGAATGAATGATTCGTGGGCTGAGCGATAGCAAAGCAAAGCGTATTATTCGGTCTGGTCTGAAAAAATATTTTTCTGTCTCTCCATCCGCCTCGCTCGGTTGTTTAGGTTTTGTTCTGGCCATGTATTTGTTTCCAACTACAATTTTGATGTGACTCGTGAATAAATACTCATCAATATACCTGAAAGTGGAGAAATGGGGTCGACAAACTGCTAGATCTATCGGGGCCGGGGCAAGAGGAGCTGTACAACAGGAACTTCAAAATCAAAGCGATCGAATACGGCAAGAAAAGGGCAACAAACGAGAAGGAAGTCAGTGCGGCGTCACCCCAAAGATAGTCACGGTCAGGCGAAAGAAAGTAAAGAGTCTGCAAAAGGCTGCTGCAAGTCGCAAAGCGTTTCGTGGGCCGAAGACGGCTAAGTGTCCTAGAGAAGCTGCTGGTGGAATGGGTCCGAAAGTGAAGGGAAGGTTCTGCTCCATCTCCCCCAAAAAATGATGCAGTGTCAGGCTTTAGGGCTGGGCCGGGATTTGTTAGGGGTGCCAACAAATACTTGTTATGCCAGCTTATCCTGGGTAGAAAGAGTCTCGAAAAGAATGGCTTGTCAGTTCGGCGTCGAACAGCAATCGCTTAGCGTTTGAGGAAAAGCTTGTATCATATCGGCAACCAAACTCCCCTTTACCTCGACATGCTACGGCGCAACACTGTTGACGAGCAAAGGGAATAAATCTATAAGCATGAAGACACCTGGAGATAAGAAAACACGCTTCACTGTGGTGCTCACTGTGGCAGCGGACGGGAAGAAATTTCCACCTTACGAAGTTTTCTTGCCCAAGGACAAATTCCCTACTGGAATTCATGTGGGCGTTCGCGAGAGCGGATCATTCAACGAGGACATAACGACTAACTGGTTGCGAACCGTGTGAACCAAGCGGTCTGGACGGGTCTGGAGTGTTATTGAACAGACCATCAATCAATGCTCGTCCTAGACTCCTTCAGGGAACACCTCACCGATCAAGTGAAGAATCAAATAAGGCACCTCAAGACAGACATGGGCACGGCACCCAGCGGCCTGACAAGAATTCTTCAGCCTCTTGACGTTTGGTGAATCAACCACTGAAGAACGAAGTGGAATAGCTGTACAACGAGTAGATGTTCAACAGGGAAATCAGTACATGCCGGCAGGGAAGATCAGAAGACCCGGCGTCAATCCATGGTGCAGGTCTTAAACTGGGTAGTGCAGGCGTGGAACTCTATTCCCGAAGAACTCAAGTGGAAGAGCTCTGAAATGCTACATTTCTAATGCATTAAATGGGACCGAAGACGAAGCAATCGGACACTAACGACTCCGACGACGGCCCGGATTTCAATGAGATTGCTGAGGATGATGATTCTTCTTCTGATGAGGATGTCCCTGAAGCAGATGAAGGTGCAAGTGCAAGTGAAGTTGACTGTGAAGACTGATATCTAAAGTAATACGTATGTTACCTATGTTGTATCTAGTCTTCACACATGGTTAAGAAATTGTAAGAATATTTGTTTCTATACCAATAACATTTAACTTTGTGTTGGCAAATCTGATTTGTACTTATTGTTGCCTACTGAGCATTTAAACACATACATTTTACATCTACCATGCAAACATACCACCTACTACCCATCCGAAGTGTTTGGGAACTCCCTGGGTTCCCTGGGGGCTTTTCCCAGTATTTTCTCCTAAATTTGTGGCCTCAAAAGTTGAGAGGTTGGGGGGGGGGGGGCTTAATCGGGGTGGA